ACTGAATGTAAACTTACCAGTGTATTGATTTCAGGAAGTCTTTTCTTGATGTGAAAAGTAGAATACCTCTGGACAATTTACTTAAAGTTATACCAGGTGATATCAGAACTGCGTGGACAAATCCATGTAAGTCAATTTAAGAGAAAAAAAAAACATCATAAAAAAATGTGTGTGCAGTAGTGCAGGTCCTTGGGTAACGTTTTTGTTACAATACTCCAATTTCGAGTTCTGGTTTGCTCTGTGTTAGCCTCAAAACCAAATAACATATTCTTTTGTTTTATTGATAGCCTGCGAAAACGCATGGAATTTGAAAAGAAAGACAATAGAATTGATATGAAATCTTACACTTTTATTCCCATAATTAGGAATATTTTGCGCGCAAATGAGGCTAACACAGAGCAGTGGAGAATTCGAAACTGGATTATTTGGGGCATAGCTGATTTTTATCCCAATGAGAACTGACAAAAGAAATGAAATRATATCAATCAAAATTTCGATGTGGATATCAGGCTTTCCTCTTGTAGAACCTTGTATGGGTTCCTCCATTTCCACCCCCTCCCTTTCATCCTCCAGACCCACTGTTGCCACCGAGGATATAATAATATTAAACTTCAWTTCTTCCTCCTTAAAATGCATGTGAGACTAGAATAATTTTTTATTTTAGTAATATACCGTGACTACACATTCAGTTTGTGTACTCTCAAGCCATGTGGTYCGCCAGACAGTTATAACAACTTTATCAAGACACTTTCTATGAAAGATTATTCGGTAAGGCTAAAATTATTGATTGATTGATTGATGATTGGTTGGTTGGTCGGTCAATCAATCAAACRTTCGAACTATTGATTGATRTATTGATTGATTGATTGATCGACCTACCTATCGATCAATCGGTCGGTCGGTCGGTTGTTTGCTTGGTCGCTTTATTGATKGATAGATTGATCCGTTGGCTTCCTCAATTTATTGACAGGCAGCCGTCGTCACTGTAAACAGTTCAACGATTTTATTCCTTGTTCCTTCATGCAAATTAACCGTTGAGCTAGGTAAGAACGATTCTTGGTAATAAGATGTTAGCGCGTAACGAATTATCCAAACGTGTGTTGTCGTTCCTTTCACTGTTATACAGTAAGCCTGGTTTTCACTACGACTTAAACCAAAACCCAATGCTAAGAGCAAGTGCGCAAGGCTCATAAACAGCGTGAAAACCGACGCAAGGCAACGCAAGCACAAGTTTTTCTCAACGCAAGCCCAAACTTAAAACGCAAACCGAAACACAAGGAACAAAATGTTTCCTTCTCATGCGCTCAAGTTTGGGGCTTCGTTTGCTCTCACTTCGGTGCTACGTCAGTGAAAACGAAACACAAACACAGACGCAGTGTCTGGATTAATGAAAACACTAGTGCCAGTCTCGCATTGTCACACAAGGATTGTTTCTTGCTGTGCGTTCTTGCGCTTGTGTTTCGTTTTCACATGATATTTGTTTTCATGTTTGGTTTTAGGCTTTCGCTTAGCATTGGACTTAGGTTTAAGTCGTAGTGAAAGCTAGGCTTAACTGTAATTTTGCTGCTTATATCTGTTTTTTGTTTTGCTGCTCTAGCTGTTTGTTGTTTATAGTCACTATATGATTTTTGATAGTCATCGTTTTCTGTTCCTCTGTATGTCCTCTTGCTCGGATTATGTTTTGACCTTTCTCTATTAAAGCGTATTTTTGTTGGATTCCATCGTTTCTGTATAACCAACTATTTGTTCATCATTCAGGATTTTCAGCTAATACGGAGCCACTGCGAATGTTCTGTATTGTGAGAAGACGAAGACAGTCGCAATGTCCGAGTGTAGAAGTGAGGCTGAACGCTGAAGTAGCTAAGCCATCTGTTGTTGTGCCAGAAAACTTGAATATCAATACTAAAATTGAAGTGCCTTACCCTTTACAACACGTAAACAGTCCACTGCGAAAACGAGTCACCGTTTGTCGGAGATCAAAGTCTRTAGACTCTGCCGTCGCAACTTCAGGCGTTTTTCCACCCAAAAATACCCGACTTAAACGACAGCTTTCGACCAGTACTGAAGTACGGTCTGTTGCTGCTACGCAAAAAGACAAGGAGGATTGTGATGACTTGAAAATAATGYTTCCAGATTCTAGAGGTGGCTCTGATAATCCAATTTCTATATCTAGTGCAATACCTAGCAAAATGGAGAGAAGCTTATCCGGGAAGAAATCCATTTCACGTAGTTCTGATGCWGCAGAAATGTCTTCATCCATCGATGAAGTGGTTGTTATAGATTCGGCAGGTTTGCAACGTGAAACTAAATCATCTCCTCATGAAACATCACCGTCTGCTTTATCCAGCCTTTTCCAAGTCATGAGGTCTAAAAGTATCCCCTTCCTCGAAGAGACTCATTTAGATCACTTGATGCAAATTGAACAACAGGAACAGAACAGAGYATCTTTCACACCGACGTTGGAAAGTCGCTTAACTGATGAAAATGAGCCAACCAACGAATCTCTTGATCGAGATATACGCCATTCAAAGTCTTACGAGAGCCATCGAAGAAAGTTGGTGCCTTGCAGTAAGAAGGAAAGTTATACAAAGATTCAATGTAAACCTGATATCCAAGTGACTCAGACGGATAGTGGACRGACGAAAAATCGATGCTCTGATGATATTGCAAAATCTGAATTTAATGAACAGGACTTTAATCAAACACGTGACCTAAATGCCCCGCCAATCCCAAGGGAAGACACCCTATTATGTGATCCWAGCACTCCACTTTTCTTGAAACGTCGACCCAGTCTGTTCGAGCGAGTAAATGAAATCAAGAAACTGTATCGACTCTGTGTAGATGAGGAGGACATGGACGACCCYCCTGTCACATGCAACTCTAGTCAAATAGTCAGTAGTCCTGAAGATACTGAAAGTGAGACGTCGAGAAACTGGTCCAGCGGACTACAAGTTGTGGAGGCAACGCTAATAGAGCTTGACTTCATGAAAATTGACGAAGAAATTGAAAATTATGACATGGAAAACGCCTTTGAATATTTAGATATCGATGGTGTAAGGGAAACACCTGAGTACCAAGAGGTGACGTTGTGGTGTAGTACAGATCWGGTTAGTACTTCATTCGATATCATTMCAAAAGAGGCTTCGTCACCGGATTCCCTGCTAAAACCTACAAGAGACCGCCTTCATTTGGAAAGTTCTAGCTCAAATAATGGACAAGAACCGAACAATTTCTTTACAGATTCAAGGAATCCCTTGCATGAAAATTTACAGGTCAGCAAGCAAACTTGCCTTGATAAAGAGATCTCGCTTAATTGTATGAACAGCTCTCCAAAGGCAGCTACTGTAAAGAMTGTAACTGAAAAMGYGGAAAATGATGAGGACTCTCGGCATAGAAGGAGTGAGTTATCAACTGTAAACTCATTAGGCATTGAGTCAGATAACCGTTCCATTTGTGCGCAGCAAAGTATAGTTGAAGCAATGGATCTGCACGTCGTCGATGAGTGTGTTAAACAGTCAGATATTTCTACTGCTAATTTACAGAACACTAACGAGGGTTTTAATGCGGTTGAAAGATTACTGGCCGATGTTGATAGCCAAATGGTCAATGGCAGTACAACATCAACCAAAGCGGTTATTGTTGCAGCGATAAATACGGATATCCGTACTGGGAATGATGTTGATAACACTTCGTCCAAGTCAGCTTCTATATTGGATGGTAATGACCCTGTGACCAATATATCTAGCATTACAAGTAACTGTGAAGTAAATACGAGTATGATTGAACTCCGTGCATCGCTTAAAAGCGCAGAGGTCCAGAGGGTCACTTTTCCTACGAAAAAACTAGAAGAAAAAGAAAATAAATCCAACAATCGAGGTGATACTGTTTTAGCGGCGTCGAAGAGACCACACCCACCGCCTATAAGCTACAGCTATAAAGGTGCCTTACATCACACTTATCACCCTCCTCCTGTGAAGATAAGACGACTTATTGATGACAATCCTCGACCATATTTACATAGATTTGAATGCCGTCCGCCTCCCCCTTTGATGCACCCTCCTTTTCCATTTCCTTACAGACCATGTTCTGCTGCTCGTTACTTCAAGCTGGAAGTTCACCCATATGCTCGGGCGTTTAGTCCACATTATAGACAGCCATTACTGCCACAAYATAGATGCTATGGCGATAGCGAGCATAGACTTTGAAGATGCTTTCGCGTCGGTCCCTGTGTGATTCCACTACCGAGAAAAACTGGGAGCGATGATGGAAACATTCGTATTGAGATGTTACTGTTTATGAATAACTAGGTGCAATTTTACAGTAGGATTCCCCGGATTGTCTTTTTCTAAACCAAAGACTTTTTCAAATATGCGTTGAACGCCGTAATGTGAAAATTATATGTGTTAAAGTTAAAACCGCTGTATCGTGACGTAGAATTTTTGAAGGTAGTTTTCTAGATTTGTTTGTTTTTTGTTTGCTTTTGTTTTTCATCGATGTAGTATAGTAGTGTAGTATACAACAACAACATTGAATARCAACAACAATTCTTAAAAAAACTTAAATATTTATATACAAAASTCTTATTATGATTAGACTTAATGATTAGAGGTATTAATGTAGGTCAAATATTCGAATGATTGATCGAAACAAATTCCAAAATCCTAAGGAGCTTCAAAACTTTGGAGTCGCGATACAAGCTGTTTCAATCATCGTCAGCGACTATTTGCCTTGAGAGTTTGTACATATTTTATAACGTGTATATGTTCCTAGTTTGTTGGACGTTTTATCACTCAGTGACCAGGAAAAAAAATGTCCTACCAAAAAAAAAGAACTATTATAAATATTCATAATGCCATTTATTTATATTTACAAGGCATTTCAGAGTGTATCTTGTAATTTAAAGATCCTATTGAATTTTTCGCAATAAAGGTCAACCTCTTTTACCTATATTGAATTTTCAGAATTTCCTGGTAATGATTTTAACTAAGAATATTTGTGTGTGTGCTTGTTTATTTCCTATTTCATATTTTTGTATACACCTAATTGAAGAAACGTCGTCGGGTCCAAAAAAGGTCAAATCATAGAAGCTAAGACCGAAAGGGTACTTGGGAAGACAAACAATTTGGCTAATTTCATAACAAACAGCTCTCCAGCATAAAAGAATTTCTCCATTTCATAAAGTTGATAGGTGGCTTGCTTTCAACACGAAATTCCCACGGAAGTTAATTTTACTACATTTGCTCCTGGACTACTAGTGAAAATAACACATTCGAAGTTTCTGTATAGGTGGAAGTAAGAAAGAAGGGTATTTTACGGCATAATTTGCTTTCATATGTRATTATATGATAAATAGAGACACTCCCTCGTGAGAGATCTTTTCAACACTCGAAGATAAAATCCGTATCTCCGCGCACCCATGTAATATRCTCTATTTATTAAACATCTAGTCACAATATATGTAAATTGTAATGAGCTACAGATTCTGACCATACATGATTATAAATTAAGCTGAACTGCAATGAGCAGGTTTTAACTTAAGACGGCTCGAAAAAGCTCTTTTGGTTTATTTAAAAACCTTTGTTAGTGGCAGCGAGGTATCGAATCCATGTATTGTAAATCCAGAAAGCGATACAAAGAGCGAAAGCAAATCTACTAAGTCGAAAGTGGTTACCGCCAACCACGCTTCAGTACACTTTCTCTTTATCCGCTGAATCAGACTTTGTTTACTTCACTAAGTTTTGATATTATTGCCTAGAACAGTTTTCAAATACAGATATTTGGGAAATGTGAACTGTTACTTTTAAATGATTTGATGTTTTGACTCGATTTTTGCTAAGTAAGGAAACTAACATAGCTCAATTCGATCATGAAAGTAGGTCTTTGTTTACGGCTTTGTTTCGATTTGACAAAAGCCGACAGTTGATGCTGCAGGTAGTATAAAAACAATCTAGTATGGATTTTTAATTTATGTATCAAAAAGGTCGATGTTTTTCATTTGCTTTGAATAAGACAGCTGGAAGTCTATATTTACGAGATATTTAATAAAAAAATCCACTTGTGCCATCACGCGCTTTAGCACTCGATTGGGTTCAAAATAAACTAAAGTCACGCAACGGTAGTCAATGACGTTATTTTGCTTTCGATTCTGAGAACAAGGGGAATCCCCGACCAATAGAATTCGGCGAAAAAAACGAAAGCTAAGATGTAAAGGTTATCCAGTTCAGACTCGATTTGCGAGTGTGAGAGACTCCATAATTACGGTTCTAGTGCCAGTTTGTATAAATTCCTCTTCTATACACTTTGTATTTAATATAATGCCAGTTGAAAAGCTACGTCTTCGTCCTTGGTTAGAAAACGCTCTCAATACTGGTAACATACCCGGTGTAAAGTGGTTGGACTTTAGAGAGAAGGTTTTTCAGGTTTCCTGGAAGCATGCTTCAAGACAAGGCTGGAATGTCGAGACTGATGCTTGTATATTTAAAGAATGGGCAATTCACACTGGTAGATACCGTCAGAAATGCGACAAACCGGACCCGAGACGATGGAAAGCCAACTTTCGATGTGCTTTGAATGCTTTGCCWGACATAAAAGAACTYCAAGCCCGTGGCGTCACGCGGGGTAATAACGCTTATAAAGTCTATCAGATGCTTGCAAAAAATACAGAGCACACTAAGGACAGAGCGAAAAATAATAAAGGTTAGTGGTAGAAACTCTAGATCACATTTATTTTGGATTTACGTGACGTATGGCTGGCTTTTGAGCTGTAACTCTTCACTACGACTGAGATGATCACATTAAGTCTGCAGTGTGACGACTTTACATAATAATTATCAACTGAAATATTCAGCTTTCAAATTTTACTTCAAAAAGCGCTAAATATAAATGTGTGACCGAAATATCTTGTTGTCTAGTATCCTGTCAGCAGTTTGAGGCAATATTGTTATTTGATTTTGCTCTCCATGCGTCGTTGCTGTTCGAAGAACTCTTTATTTCCTTGTTGTTTTAAGGTAGAGTGAGAGACATCACAAAGGAATAAATTTAAACTAAAAAAAACTTGAGCTGCTTCTTGAACGCCTTGAATGAGAACGAGCTATAAGTGCAGTATTCCCACCCCCTTTTTACCATTTTGAGTTCTTTCCATCGAGAAATCTTATACCCAATGGTTATGCATGGACAAGTTGATCCAGAGTTGACAAGAATATTATTTAGGTTAAAGCTTGCAGGACTAAAYAAAACTATAGATAATCGTTGGTGGAAGTTATCCACATCTAGTATGCTTTAATTCAACTCTTGTTTTCGCATTGATCCCGGAAGTCAATCGGTGCATATCACGTGACGAAATCAAGCTCACGCATTGTTTTAATGTAATTAATTAATTTAACTCGATAATTGATTAATAATCAAATTCATCATAATATTTAAAATTCAAAGACATGACAGTTACAGTTTCTTTGTAATAGAATATATTTATTTAATAATATTGATTTATTCAATATTGTATGAAAATGGAGATTAATCTTATTAACAACCAAATTATATTTTATTTGTTTATTTTTTAATTTTATCTTTATAATTAATATTTTTTTTATAATTGCCCCTCTGTAGATTAATTTATATTCATGATACGACTGCTAGTCATGCAAGTATGAATTGATAAGTAATTAGATTAATTTTTAAAAAGATATCTCTAGCATATATTTTCCACTTTCGATGTTCTGGTTGACACGCTATATGTAGAAAACTATAGCTGAGGACGAGGAATAATGTACTTAAAAACCCCACACGCCGACCTCCGAGGAATACCGGGGAATTTAACGTTTGAGTGGTGTTAAAATAAGACATTTYCTCCGGCAGTCGGAGCACATTAATTGTCAAAATCCCCGCTACCGTTGCCCCGCTATTTTGGTCTAGTAGTAAATAACAAAACAAACACCTTTCAATCAAATTTTCTGTGATACACAGGTTTTCCTGTGTACTCATTTGCGTACTATATGACGATAGCTGGACGGAGAAAAACATGTTTAATTATAAGTTTCTTTTAAAAATTTTCCATGCAAGGAAAAATAAACAAATAAAAAAGCGGGGATGAATACCAATGCCTTCGGGGCCCATTTCTCAATATGGCCGACCTCTAGTTTCAATTCCAGCCTATTACATGTTCAAACGCGTGTTAAAATCCCCGCTCTTTGCACCGCTTCGAAAACAATTCATCAAAAACCCGACCTCCGGGGCAATCTTGCTGTTAAAAGCACGTTAAAAACGCGTCACGTCCCCGTTCAGTGCCCCGCTAGCTCGGGGAGTGGGAGGCGAGGGTTTCAATTGACTAGGTGCATAAGAATCATCTAAGCTGGCTCTGTACACACTATTAAAATAAGGAATTGTTATTATGATAGTAAGAGGAGAGAAAATATATAAGTATTGTTTCTTATTTATTTAAAGGATAAAATGAATGCACTCTAATAGTTGAGACTGCTAAACTCTACAAGGAAAGTATTGTTTCTCTTGTGGCGCATTTGCAGACATGTGATTTTATAATTGTTTCACCAGAGTCTGATGTATCGAAGGTGAATCAAACAAGCACGGGCCAATCAAAGTATGACAATGGCATCATAAGCCGTTCTCCTGCAACTGTCATCAAACGACATTCTGTAATACACGTAAGTAGCTGCTGTGTTTTGTAATTATTTGACTTTCGTTCCCATTTTCTCTAGTAAGCATTGCATATCGTGAGTTTTGATTCCTACAGGGTTATAATGTTATTAATATGATATTCATGGGCGTGTGACGGTTTTAGWTCCGGATACCCTTTTATGGCAGTCACTAAACAGTTTAAAATAGGAGACTTTATTTACGAAATCAAAAGGGTAACACATTTTCGTTTAGTCCAACAGTTTTTTGAAGAGTGCGAAAAACAATGTGAAAAACAAAACAAAATAGTACTCGTTATATTTAGCAGTCAACCGCCTTCTTCACAACCTGAAACCGCAAACTGGAACCCTCCTCACGAAACCCTGCACACACCCCTTTTAATTATAATCACGGACATTCTTGAAAATTCTCTGCTCATTTACATCAATAACAGGACAGAACAGGTCATCTTAATGTGCTGATGCCTCAGTTCAACGATTTATATATATATATATATATATATTTTTTTTTTTACTTTTGCCCATTGCAACAATTATTAAAATGCATGTTTTTTGAATTAAATGCAATAAAATGTTTTTTTTCTATTGATTTCAGAAGTCGTCTACAGTGTTTCAGAACTCAGACAGCCGCCATGCTATCTGCACTACTCACCCTGTTCATCCTCAGACACTGATTCCTTATTGGCCCACTTTAACAGCCTACTCTCCCCACCCTCACGTAAAAGACCATGACTACTTGACCACGTGGTGTGACCCTAGACCGGAAATGAGAGGTRAGGAAATGGGTGTTGTGTATACTATTGATTTTATTCCGTTTATGGTTATGTCATCGTCAGTGAACTTTCACGATATATGAAACTTCACAGCAGTACAATCGCAGTTACAGTAGTACACCATCCAGAACAAGGTCATGATATTCTACAAAACAACTTAAATGCAATACAGAATAACCGAAAAAAAAATGAAATCATCAGCTCAAGATGTGCAGACATCACTTTCACAGACATCAATCGTTGATGTCAGACATTGGCCTCTACTGTAGCCTGAGAAGTGGCTCTGGGGGAGGGGTGAAGTGGGGAAAAGGAGGGGGAGGGGGAGGAGGGGTTTTCCAGGTAAAATAAAAGAATAAAAATAAATAAATAATATGCCAAGGAAGGGACTCTACACAGCAAGCCTATTACTTTGTAGAGATGAAAGAGAAGCCTGCGGGGGAGCTTACATTACTATATCATCTTTTTCTAGATATTGGTGTTATGACGTATCAAGAGATCAAGAAAGAACCAATCTCCCCGGACAGCCATCATGGACACTGTTGTCAGAACTACGATCAGGTTGGTTTCAATTACGTGTTGACCAATCACCATGTACAATATTATTAGGTTAAGCATGTAGTTTTGTTGAGCTTTAAGACCACACGTTCGTCTCCAAGGCAACAAATGCCAATACGCGTTAGTCGCTAATCCTGCAAAACGGCATTCAGTATTCATAACAGAAAAGTATCCTGAGCACTTTCGACAAAATGTACACCGAATCGAACCAAATCGTATTGAAAACCAAATTGGTACATGTGAACATTTTTGATTTGATTTCTTTTTTCAGGACGCTGTCGTTGGTCTAACTGATTATCACTACATTAACAACGTTAAAGAGGGTAAGAGCATGATGTCAAAGATTGAAAATGACTTTAAGGCGTGAATTACCGTCGAATAGCCAGGTCATGTTGAAACGAGGCACTGACTAAATAGAAAATTCTTTTTATACCATGGAAAAAAGTATTAGGTGTGGTCCGCCCCAGAGAGTCGTGCCTGATAGCCACGCCTTACCAAGGTCTGCCTTTAGTAGACTTCTCAGTACAGCTCTTGGCTCAGTAGCGACCCAGAGGGGGTTCCAAGAGTTCCACGAAATCCCCCCTAGAGCATGAAAATAATAAGATAAATAAAATAAATAAAATGAAAACGCATCCTACAATTATTTCTTATAATTGGAACATATATTGGGCTGTGTCTACTAGTGCCTCGATTGATACGGTATACCGTTTTTTTATGAGAAAGGTCGTTTTAGGAAAATGTAAAAAGAAAATGGAACCCCCCTTTAAAAAATCCTGGATCCGCCACTGCGGCTTGGCCTAAATTTTCAACAAGTAACTTCAATTTCTCGTTTCATGCATTGAAAACAACAATATATTCTCACTAGTATACATTTTATCTTAGAATCATGCCTTAATGACATATGAGCTTTTCTTTTTTTATAGAAAAGACCATACCTTGTGATGAAGAAATCCCAAATGATCAGGAAATCATAGATGTAAGTGAAAGCAAGCCTTTTATTGATTTGCTTACTTGATGTATACACTAGTTTTATGAGCGGGATATCCAACAAGCTGMCGCAATAGTTTGTGAAATTAAATCCACTTTCAAAAGTCAAGTCGATACGATTATAAAATAAACCAAAGATAAAAGCCTCTGGTCTCTAGTCAATGTTTGCATAACTCTATATCAATTGCCTAAATGCTTCTAAAAGACGCATCTGAATGTAACAAATTTCAACACATTCACACATGAAAGTTAAATCGCATTCCTTATATTTATAGAGAGGCCTATTCCGGGCCAGAAAATTGCCTTAAGTCGTCTTAAATTACCTTAAGACGCCCTAAGACGCCAAGGGACCCCAGTCTAATTACCATCCAAATTTCCACATGAAGTCGCCCCCGCCCAATTTACTCTTATTTCTTTAGTAAGTCGCCTTAAGTTGCTTTGAGTTGCTTCGACTTAAAGGGTCATGGTCCACCAGCATCCCTTTCGAGCTTTTGTTTATGTTTGAAAATAGAAATACATCRGCGTAATATAAGCAAAAACTTACTCTTTATTATTCCTTAATCCTATATGAATGGAGATGCTTTAACATTCGACCGTTAAACCGATGGAAACGGATTGCAAATGGATATTCGAAGTCACCTCATTTTCCATAAATGAAAAATCTAAAACASGACCGCATTGCATGCTAGTGGACCATGTCCCTTTTTAAGGCGAATTTCTGGCCCGGAGTRGGCCTTATAGAGCACCGCACCACGTGGTTTAACAAATAACGAAGTACAAATGTTTATTTATCAAACCAGTAAAGACAGAATACTCCATTTGATATGCAGTCACGATCGGATCCACTCTGGGGACCATAATCCTTAGCGTTAAAACAAATGTTTTGTTGTGACGTAAAAATTATGCGATAGGGCAATTGTTTTACAATTAGTCGACTATTCCAACATATAACTATGTCTCGGTTTTTTGATCGAGGATCTGCGCCAATGTTCAAGGTTTTTTGTTTCATTTAGCTGGTTGACAGTATGTCACAAGACAGTGACACATCTTCTAACGCTAGCGGCTCATCATATGACGAGTATGATGGTGAAGTAAACAATGAAGGTACAATTGATACGATCTATTTTTAACCCTGCGAAAAATACCCAAATCATTAAGAGCKTATCGGTCTGAAAAACTAAGGGTTTGTCCAAAAAGTTGGAAGTAGGTACCAGGCGTACCAGACCGCCCTTATTTGACAGACAGCAACTGAAATGAGACTTGYTTCCTTACCACGAAACTAACAGCACTCGTAATGGCAGGACTAATGATAACAACAACTTTAACGATAGCTTGTCAGATAATAATAGTATGGTGAAACCTATAAATTGAGTAATTATTATAACTTTAATCGTAACATGTCAATATAATAAATATAAAAATATAATTTTTTTGTCAGTATTTTTATCCAACATAGCAGCGACAACATAGCTTATAATCATGAATAATGAAGACTTGATTACATTACATGAAGTTTGCAAATCAAGTTTTTTTTAATTCACTAATGAATTTAACCACAAATTCTTTCATTTCAGAACRACATCTTAATAGGTCACCACTTTCTAACGATCCAAGATCAAAATCTCTTACTATTCTAAAGCCCAGCATACATACTGAAGATTACCTGTTCATGTATGATTACCAGAGCACCGCTCAGGCTCCTCCTCCTCTGACACCAGAGAGTGCTAGTGAGATTCTTAAGGGTATCACGAACAACGAATCGTCATAAAGCGGGTCGACCACTATCGTCCGGAACGAAACTTGTGATTGATCGAATGCAAAGAATTGTAGGATTATATCAGACAATGTCTGATTGTTAATTGTCAATTGTCAATTTTTTTAAGGAAATATTCATTTTTTGTATTGCATGTCTCTCTTTGTTGTTTCATCAATCACAATTTTTATTCTAACAGTAGTGTACAGCTCCGTAAAGCCCCACAAACACAGAACAGTTGTTATTGGGACTGTAGATTATAGTATATAGTACATCCTATATTTCATACCTAACGGGTTTTTTAATCAACGAAACATTCAACTGTAAATGCACCAGTGATTTATCCTTCCCCTAATGACATCATGTTTGTGTGTCGAGAGGTGCATGTCGGGATTATTGAAAGTATCAAGATGGAAGATGCGAAGAGCATTACCTGCCATCGAAGTGCCTAAGATAACCGATACCAATCCTGAATACTCAGATGTCTGTACATACACTATTTAGTATGCCAAAAGAAMAGTCACACCAATACGCAAGTTTAAGTATTGTTTCGCACGACAGGCCCACATACAAAAAAATACTTTCTTCAATCCCATAATGCACCTCGCCAAACATTGCATAGCGTCGCAAAGAGCATTACGATTTCCTGTAGTCAAATAAGGTCTGCTTGGTTTAGCTTTTTGACTTATCTTGATTAATGTTGGCTGTAAATTAACGCATGTTGATTATATTCAAATGGTGATGTTAGCACCGTTAGACACAGTGCAAAATCTTCTATGTAATTATCAGACGCATAGATTAAACGTGAAAGAATGATTTCATTGGTTTGTAAAAGATTTAGTAGAGCGTATATACTAAAAAAATATTGGACCTTTATTCAGAATTGAATGTATAAATTAATCCATCCTCTCTGAAATTTACCTTCCGTCTCGTCTCAGGGGGGGATATTTTTGTAGAAAGTGAAACTTAGACTTGATCAGTTTTCAGGGCTGAAGCCCGTGTAATATACACATAAATATAGAAAGAGTGATTTTTTTTTATAATATGAGCAAACATCTATATATAATCAACTTCCACCTCAACCCTCAGACACCTATATTTTAATTTACCGACTTTTCGTTGAGTCACTGGACACTGTCGCTAATCTCGAGGTATCCCTATATGTAGTGAGAGTTGACTGTATAAGTGTACCTCACTAGTTAGAGATATTTAGTTATCTACATGTACAATCTATTGCAAAATAACGTGTAACACCCTCCATGGGTGTGTTACTACAACCTCCCCTCCCTGTGTGCAATGTTGGTTTTCGCTTAGTTGAAGAAGGAATCGCTTAAAAATCGTCCTGGATGAACGGTCCAACAATTTACCGGGAAAAGGGGCGGGGGGCGAGGTGTTCCGTTTATTTTGCATAAGATTGTAGGATTCAGTACGAAGAAGTATATACAACAAATGTACAATGTTTTAATAAACTTTGTATGTTGGATGAATAAAATAAACAAATCGTTCAAATCAGGCTTCATTCAGTGTTTGTCATTCGTTGTGTATTCAAGGAAAGGATAATGAACAGTTTTTTTATGTTTAACGTCACCATCCATTGCGAATGTTGCCGCCAAACGTTACGGCTGGCCGTAATTCTCGAAGTGCAGAATCATTAATTGATGGCATTATTGGCTCTTTCAAAACGCTTCGTCTGCGGAATGGAATCAGTTTGGTGGTGTTGTTGTTTTAACACATGTTGGTCATTAATGCATGAAGGATTGGAAAAGATCATCCGAACACAAGTAGAAAGGCCCAAGTCTTGATTTGTTTAGAATTTGTTATATCTCACTCATATTCAGAAAATCTGCTGAAATGCGAATGTTTTTAATTTAATACAGGGGCTTTCCCCAAGCTGATAGTTAAGTGTATTTGCACGGGGTTTTCCCCACCTTTGCTTTGAAAACCGCCAAGAAAGAACAATATGCGATATCAGTTATAAACATCCGGTTTTGTTCGTCTAGCGCATCTGAATTCAGTCGCACCCTGAAGTTCAACTCTTGATATTTCAGGTTTTTATTTGTTATCAATTTTTTTATAGACCTTTTTTCGTTTGAGTCCACAATTGTCATACTTTGTTAATATTCTGATTACTTGTGTTAAATAACTTGTAAAAAAAGGAAAATAGTAGAGAATATACTGTAGCAAGAATACGTTCACATATTAGAGAGAGTCCAAGTCGAGGTGGTCTATTAAAAAGTCTCGCTTGCCCATGCAAAATCCGGATTCAGACACATTTTACCAAAATGATCGCAACTAATTTACTCAAGAAATGGAATGAAATCATTTTATTTCAGAACAACATCTTAACAAGCCAACCTTTTTCACACGAGGGAAGACCAACAATCAGTATAAATTTCAATAAATGTTGTCGGGGAGAACGGCGAACGGCGATTGTCGAARGGAGATKGCATGACCGAAAGGGACTATGGTTACAAAGTTTCACCTAATGCGATTCACCTTACATTGAAATGGATACTAAATGTAGCCATTGTTTACCACAGACTATCTTACAGTATAAATCAGTTGTTATTTCCTTTCAACTAGCAAAAACCATGACTACTTTCGGTCGTGCAATCGCCGTTCGACCATTAGCATTTGCCATTTTATCCGACAACCTTTGTTGAAATAGCTATATCTTAGTACACTGAGTTTATGTACTATTATCGCTCGAGTTCTCCTCCTCGGCTAACTTTTTCTATATGAATATTAGGACCGCATGACAGTATGGTGAATATGATATAGAAATAAAGGAAAGGACGAGTGCTTAATTAGAAGAAGATTTCTCGGGAGTAAGACCCTTGGAGATAAATTCGGAAAAATTAATTTCCTTCCTCGCTGGGACTCGAACCCACGACCCTCGGATTTGTACTACCGATGCTTTGCCAGCTGAGCTACAAGGTCAAACTGAAACAAGGAAGATTAATATTCTCCTTCTAATTAAGCACTATAATTCCTTTCTTTTATTTCTATAACTGTATATATTTTGGAGAAGTCATTTAGAAATCAAGTATTCAATTTGTGAAAGTTTTCTGAAACATAAAATAGAATAAAATGCAATTAACTCCGCATGTAAAAGTAAAGTTGTGCCGTAGATTTGTGTATAAATGAACTATACATGTTGTGTGCGCGTATAGAAAACATGACTGTCAATCGTTATGTAATCAAGGAAAGGATAATAAACAGAATTTTGTGCCTAATTTAGAACCGCCAAAGGTTGCTAGCGCGCGGGACGTAATTTTTGGTTCGTAACATATATTTGTGGCGGCAGACGAATGCAAAAATTGCTTCCTCAGACAATATGTCACACCAACTTCCAAGAAGGATTCCAATCATGCCTGCTTCCGATATTTTGTTAATTTTTATCTCACACCCATTCAGAAAATCTGCCAGAAAGCGATTTTTTTTAATAAGTGCTTATRACTTAAACCAGGGGCATCCCCCAGTTGACCCAGGTAATAGATAGGGGGTTTCCCCATGTTTGCTGCCWAATACGAAGAACAATATAACTATAGATTAATATAGATAGCTCATGACACACCCGATAGCCAGCTGCTGTTTGTTTTGCTTCCAAACATAACCATTGTAAACAATTCTTGTCTTTCAATGACGTCATCTCTCTTTCTATTTTTATTATTTCCTTTTTTCTTTTTTTAATCGCATTAGTAAAATATGACATTTATACCCTTTTAGAGCATACAAAAACAAAGTAGAGCATTAGCTAGAGGAACTATTTGTAAATGCGCGAAATCTATCAAAAAAATCCTGACTGTTGTTCGACGGTGTTCAGGTGCTGACCACAGTCTAATCCATTCAAAGGCTATACTATAAACTATATATTGTTTCAGCCATACTGGTCACATCTGAATGAACAAAGCGAAAATTATACTATTTCTACAAAATGCATAAAAAGTTTTTTACCACATATGATAATTTTCTCGCTTTCTGATTGGTCGAGAGCCGTGTTAAATAAAAGTACATACCACGGTCGCTATCTTTGCTCTCGCGATTAACTTTGATACTTTAAAGAAAAACGATAGACTTTCTCCACTTTTCTGTCATTGAGAATTCAATTCCTGACTGGGCAGACAAAGCGAAAAAAGTATGTACCATGATTTGTTGAATAAATTATTTGGTTAAGTTGGAATTGAGATTTCAGTTGTTCTTTTAGCTTGCAAAACGCGCGCAGTACTGGTAAAACAGTTATTTGGGGTAAAAAACAAATTCACGATAGTTTCGCGTGGTATGTCCTCTTATTTACCACAACTGGGATCATCTCATCGTCTAGATTGTTATAGATCCATGAGACGAAGTCGAGWGGATTTACAACAATCTAGACGATTCGATGGCCCAACTGTTAAGTTGTAAATGGGAGGACAGACCGCACGCGAAACTATCGTAAATTTGTTAATTAACCACTATTGGAAATTTCATTTTGTAATCTTATAGAGAGTGTTTATGTTCACTCATTTTGCAACTTCCTGATCGTCCATAAAAAAAGTCGTGCACAGTCTTGACTGGTTTAACCTAAAAATACATACAAAAGATGTACAAGAGAAGTACAACACATTCAAGGCTTCCAAACCATTCCTCTCTATTAACTATGGTTTTTAAAACTATGATAAAACCAAATGGAAAGGTACTTGATTTTGAAAACTAGTACTGCCGRTTTTCTGCGATAACTCAAATTCCACAATGTCAGTTTAAACATGTACTTTTATTGTTAGTTCGTTACATATTTTAATTGGATTGGATTATTTTTTTCTTAATTTTTCGACTGCAATATGTTTTGGTGTGGTAGTGCCGCACCATCGTGACCGAACTGGTGGCAACGGCCGCTAGGTGTTGTGTGACAATTTTACGACAAACTAAGCTCATATTCAGTACAACACATTTCTTGAATATTAAAAAAATATATATATTTAAAGTGTTATGTCGAACATTTTAGTCCATTGAGGAAGATTAAATTTTTTCTCCTCTTACTCTAATATTAGATTTGCCACAATTAATAATTTTTTTTTCTGTTTAAATTGCGCATCTTAAAATTACCAAAATCAGGGATGAATCTAGGATTTTTGTTGCCTTGTGCCATCTCAAAAACCACCCATAACCGAGTACCATAATTACAAAATTGTATCACTTTTTGTTTAAAAATAGTAACAATTTAAAACATGTAAATTTTGAAACAGTTTAAATAAAAATGTCGTTTAATTCTTACGAAATATGTTGTATTGAGTATACAAGTAATATAGAATAATAATTTTGCATGCCCACCATCTTACATGGTTTTTGTTTGGGTGTTACCCCCTCAAAAACAACCAAACCTCCACCTGGTCCCTTATAAGTGTAAGGAATCAGTTTTCAACTGTTCTCATTGTCACCTCAATTGTCAATTTTAAGATTTTAAGACATTTTTAGATCACGTAAATCAAAGTGTCATTGATGGGCGGATCCAAGAAGGGACTGGGAAACGTCGGGAAAGYCCCAATCCCTTATTTGAAAATTCCAGAAAAGCTTTTTAGGGCGATCTATACATTCATTAATCAGTTAGATTATTATTCACACTGGGACGCGATCACATTCATTACACATTTATTCGCCGGAGTTCGAATCATCATTTCATCACAGTTCATGATCTTTATTCAAGTGTCACGCTGAGTTGAATACTAATAAATGTGTGAGGAACAAAAAAATATCAGTAATAAATTATTGAAATGAAATTCTTGGAATGAGGGAAAATTCCCTATGGGTATAAAATTACAAAAAATTACCGCATATGCATCAATAATTTTACAGATTAATGAAGATTCAAGAAGATTTCTCTAATATTTCGGAATGTTATCGACTTTATCTTGCAACATTCACTTTGAATTTAACAAAACATCGGTAGTTAAGCGAATTCCACTGGGTTTTGATTATGTAGTTACACTTATTTTAGATTCGCCTTTAGTTTCTCTTCACGATAAGATTAACGTTTGCCGTCACAAAGATAAGTTGCCGTCAGAAAGTTTAATAAGTTTGCCGTCACAAACTTTAGCCTTAATGAAATTAAGTTTGTCGTCACAAAGTTAAGTTTAGCCGTATCAAAGTTAAGCTTGACGTCTATATGTCCTAGTATGTAATAAGCTGTCCGTTGATAAAGTTAGTTTGCTTTCACTACATATTAAAGCCAGTTTGCGATACAAAAGAAAGCAATTTCCGTATCGTAAAATAAAAGTTGCCGATCTCGAAGAATTACATTTGTCATCATCCACAAAATCAGGTTTTCATAATCATTGTATGTTTACTATCGCAAAAAAAAACGGTTTTCCATCTTAAGATTAAGTTTGCGATCACGCCTCAAATGTGCGATTTTTGGATTTGCCGGTGCCCCTTGTGGGCTTCCGTACGATCCGGATTCCATGCAGTTTGGGTCAAACTGTTGGACTATAAGAAAAAAAAATTGTCCTATCAATTTGGAACCCATTAAACATACCGCTACAG